AGTAGAACTGCAGCAGCGATTACGTACACAGTCATTGCGAAACATATATATATTATGTGCCGAGATTTTCTCGCTTTTGTATCGTTCTTCGTAACTAAGAGCGTGGTAAGTCCTGATATCCAGCCAACGGTGAAAATCGAACTCATATCGCCGATCAACACCATTGTTGTTACCGTAAATTATCGCTTTTTCACACTTTTCAATTTTTATACTGATTTATCACTGTTTAGATTTAACATTAACAAACGTACACTTGGAACATTTGCAAAATTAAAAATTAAAAAGTAACCACAGTAGAAAAGTCACCTTTTTCATTACAAGTGTGTTGTTTTATTATAATACTAGTATTAATAACTCTAATGATAAATTCGTATCTTTTAAGAAAATGTTGTAGGAGGTGAAAGAACACGTGCGCCGTTCTTAATGCGAGAGCTCGGTAAGAGTTGTTGGATGCTCAGCAGATAACGTGGCTGTGAACGCGCGCAAGTACTTAATTAATGCTGCTATGGCCGTTGAAGGGTTTAAATATGTAATGTACTTACGTATCGTTAAGGTTTAAGATTGAATGATAACTTGACAGGACCGTAAACTTCTTAACACTGATAACGCAGGGTCAGAATTTTGGACGTACTGTGCAAATATAAATGAAATCTGAATAATTACTTGTTAATACGTAAAGTCTGTATCGTTAAATATCTGTCAATATTACAGATTCCCCTCTACTTTACCTTCCTCGTTTAAGAAAAAATAAAATACTAAAGGTATTAAGTATAATTGATAAAATAGTTGAATGAATGTGGAAATAAAAATATATCGCGTGATTGCATTAAAATACACGTTGAATATCACAGCACAGACGAGTGATCTATCACCTAATGCATTTTTGTGTCCCGCGTCACGGGGGCTCTAGAACCCTCCTACCATTTTCCTGTCGCTTCCAACGTTACCGATTCGGCGTAGGATATGGTTAGCAGTATTTGGAATTATGTAGAATTAAATATCAATGCGAAATGACAAATAAGAAAGTAACGTAATTGTTTATTAGAAATTAGGTCTATCCTGTACCTCGTCTAAGATTCTGAGCTGCAAGTTATTAAAACTTCGTAATTTAAACAATTTGTTTTTCATTTCAGTGTGTAGTAGGAAATTTGAGTAATTAAAGTAGAATTTTTTGGTAGATTGTGTGATTAATTTTTGCGTAATTCTTATTGGAAGATGGTGACGTACCATCAGAAGTCGAGCTCACAACGAAAAATAACTCGTCGTGGTATTTAGCAATACAGAAACGAATTAGACAAGAAAATAAATGCGTGTAGACAAGGATAGCACTAGCACAACGAGTAAGACAAGGAAAGGAACAGCGATAGATAAGGATAGCACTAGTACAACGAGTTAGACAAGGAAAGGAACAGCGATAGATAAGGATAGCACTAGCACAACGAGTAAGACAAGGAAAGCAATAGGGATAGACAAGGATGGAAAATTTGGCAGATCCAGAGTAACGCCATCTTGTGTTTGGATCCACGAACTGACTACTCGTTACGCGGGACACAGAATGTGAACAGAGGTATTAGACAAGGAAAGCACTAGTGTGCGAGAAGGATAGAGAGAAAACGCTTCCTATTGGCTGGCGGGCCGCCATGCTCCGCCTCTCAGAACCTCAGCCACGTGGTCCGGTGAAAAATCATTAATAACTCATTAATTAGGATGATTCTGTGAACTTTTAGGATTGAAGAATGTAGCGTGAACCTTTAGCTACTTTCACATATAGTTTTTACTGCAATACACCCTTTCAATAATTAGTTATTAACAATTGTAGTACGGGTTGTCGGCAAATATAGTACGGGATACCGTGCATCCTTCCTGCTTTTCATTAATTTTCTAACTTTCCACACATAATTTGTGCACTTTAATATATGCGTTCGAAAGGACATTCCTTTATCTAGTTTCTCTTTCAACTTTTGTTAACATATCCGTCGTAATTTGCGAGATATTAAATATTATTTGGATAACTACTACACTCGTCGCATTCAAGCATAAATATTTTCCGTCATTTTCATTAATAACTCAATAATTACGATGATTCTGTGAACTTTTAGGATTGAAGAATGTAGTGCGGGCCCTTAACTACTTTCCCATATAGTTTCTAGTGTCCTATACCCTGTCAATAATTAGTTATTAACAATTTTAGTACGTGATGTCTGGAACGATACCGTTTACGTTTATATACGTTTACGGTTTTTCATTAATAACTCAGTAATTACGATGATTTCGTGAATTTTTAGAATTGAAGAATGTAGTGCGGGCCTTTAGCTACTTTCACATCTAGTTTTTACTGCAATTCACCCTTTCAATAATTAGTTATTAATAATATTAGTACGGGAAGTCGGGAACGATACCGTTTACGTTTATATACGTTTACGGTTTTTCATTAATAACTCAGTAATTACGATGATTTCGTGAATTTTTATGATTGAAGAATGTAGTGCGGGCCTTTAACTACTTTCCCATATAGTTTTTAGTATCCTATACCCTGTCAATAATTAGTTATTAACAATTTTAGTACGTGATGTCTGGAACGATACCGTTTACGTTTATATACGTTTACGGTTTTTCAATAATTCCATAGCTTTCTAATGTATTCCCATGCAAGTCACCAGATGTATCTGAAAGGCAACTCCCTTAGCTACATTCTCATATAATTTTTATCAACTTATTCGGCCTAGTTCGCGAGTTATTAAACATTATAGGGGAGAATCCCCTATTCATCGTGCTCGAATGTAGTCAAATGTTATAAACAATTGTTAATATCTAATAAACCGCATCACCTACGACTACCAAAATTATTGGAGAATATAGATAAAAGACCATTCTACATTCCTCGTGCTTCAAAGTGCATAATTAATCACGCATATCTATTGAAATAACGAAAATTATGTTACGCTTGAAGTGACGCGTGTAATACTCACCTAAAGAATGCTTAATAACTCTTAAACTAAACCGAATATATTAATAAAAATCATATGAGAATGTAGCTAAGAGAGTTGCCTTTCATATGCATTTAGCTAGTTGCACGAGAATTTAGTAGCAAGCATTGAAATTATTGAAAAACCGTGAAGGTACTTGACGGAGTGCGGCACCGTTCCCGACATCACGTACTAAAATTGTTAATAACTAATTACTGAAAGGGTTTAGGGTACTAAAAACTATATGAGAAAGTTGCTGAAGATCCGCACTTCATTCTTCAATTCTGAAAGTTCAGAAAATCATCGTAATTAATGAGTTATTAATGATTTTTCACCGACCGAATTGGTTTAGACCGTGATTGGTGGAGCTTGGGTGCTTGTCAGCCAATAGGAAGCGTTTGCTCTCTATCCTTGTCGCACACTAGTTCTTTCCTTGTCTAATACCTCCATTCACATTCTGTGTCCCGCGTAACGAGTCGTCAGTTCGTGGATCCAAACACAAGATGGCGTCACTCTCGATCTGCAAAATTTTCCACCTTTGTCTACTCCTATTGCTTTCCTTGTCTTACTCGTTGTGCTAGTGCTATCCTTGTCTACCTCTATTCCTTTCCTTGTCTAACTCGTAGTTCTAGTGCTATCTTTATCTACCGCTATTCCTTTCCTTGTCTAACTCGTTTCTTTAAAGCTATCCGTGTTTCTTTCTATCAATTTCCTTGCCTTACTCATTGACAAAATACAGACCGGATTGCAGGTATGATAAATGCATTAATTTTAACGTAGTTTATAAATTAACCTTGCATTTTCTTTTTATATGTGCAGTTTTAACTTAAGAGGTACTTTAAGTTGTTTTTCCAATTATAACAAACATGACTAAATAGAAAGTTGAGGTTAGGGATAGATCAATTTAATGATTTACAAACGCTCAGAAAGCGAACATCGCAAAAGCTTTCACTTTGACATTCATACTTTCTTTTCATTTTCAAATATTTGGTGTTCCGCCTTTGCAATTTTTAGATACTTTATCCATTTCCCTTCATAGAGCTTTCAAATAGCTCTGACTAAATATAATAATTAATTTATATGGTAGTTTATAATTATTGAAAGTTTTAAATGAAATTGTTGCATGCTTTAACTCGATAAAACAGCTTAGTTTATTAATTTCACATTAAATTGACAACTACATGCAGCAGATTACTTAGAAATTGTTTATAACTTTCGTTGAAAATTGAAATAAAGGAGAGGATTTCAACAGCAAGAAAAATGAAGAAATGCAATTATTTATTGTAAGAAAACTGTACAAAATGTTACAATATACCGGTGTTGTTTTACGGCAATTTACAGTCTATTCGTTTCACCCTTACACACCACACCCATTTCCTTTTGCGAAACACTTATTCTTTAAATAATATTCCATTGCAAAATTAAATAAACTAAGTCCGGATATCGTTAGGAATGCGTAATAATAGAAAAAATTGTAAATAAATTGCTAGGTACATCGAAGACAATTATAAGTAACAATAAATATTATATCACAGATTAATTGATAAAAGTTTCATTGAAAATTGATAATATGCGTATTTATCTTTTATACATATAAGAGTTGGATTCTATATAATTTAAGTTGGATTCAATGATTGGTTCTATGAAATTTCTAAACTCATCGCTCTATTATCGTAGAGGGTATAACAAAACCTTTGATCTTTTACACGATCGGTATTTCAGAACGTTGAACACAAAAATACATTAGGTGCTTGATCTATTATGCATCTCGTCTGTGATTCACACAAATGTAAAATTGATTACGTGGCTTATCGACGGAGCAACAGTACTTGCGCTCTTGAATTATAGTGACTACACATTTCACGAAGTACACGATAGATAGTAACACGAAAAAGATGGTTGGATCGTTGACGATCTACTCGTTACTTTGTTTAAGATATCGGAACGTATGATCCAATAGAATTCCTCCAACTGCATGACGTTTTAGTGAGTAACGAATTGAACTATTGGGGGCGTTCGCTGACCATTGCAGCATACTACTTGACCGCTCTCGCGTGTGTCCAGCGTTGCGAGAAGAAAACATTGTTTTGGACCTGTACGTGCCAAAACTCGTCACTTTACAAAAATGACGTCCCGCCTGGAAAAAGAACGTTCCAAGCAAATACAAGAGAAGTGTCAGAATCTTTTGATACTGATGCTACGCGACGAGGACAACAAGTATTGTGTCGACTGCGATGCGAAAGGTTCGTGCGTCAATTGTGAATTTTTTAGCGATGTCTTGTCTCTGTTCGACCGATGAACCCTCATTGTTCTGTCCACTCCCTGCAAATGTTGGAAAATTACATTTTTATGAGTAACGGTACATGTAAGTCATCGATATCGATTCCAAAACGACCTAGTTTCGCCTAGTGAAACGTTATAGATTTTTAATTCCTCCGTGACAAACCTTAGATGACAGCGATTACCAATGAACGTCACCGTGGTTTTCTAGTTAATTCGTTCCTTATTCGTATACGTGGATACTTTACTCCTTTCTGTTATTCTTCAATAAAAAAACTTTACACACATGCAGCATTTATTATTTTCCTCATTTAATATATTTCATCTAACAACAAATTTACATATAACCTGAATTTTTTAATTCTATCAACTATCTGTTTCATTGTTCTAAATTTGTGTTTAATTTCAGTCATCTTGAGTTTATACGTAATATACAAATGAAATTTTCGAGTACTATATTCCATCACTTATATTATTAAGTATTACTTCAGAATTAAGTGAAAATATGTTCTTTCATTATATCAACTAGTCCCATATTTATTTCTCTTAGGACCAAGGTGGGCTAGTTGGAATTTAGGTATATTCTTATGCATTCGTTGTGCTGGAATACATAGAAATCTTGGGGTTCATATAAGCAAAGTTAAATCTGTTAACTTAGACACATGGACACCAGAACAAATAGTGGTATGCTAATAATTATCTTTATGTTTTAAAGGTTTTAATTGTTATTATTTATTGTAATAAGAAATCTTAATGTTATAAATGTATTTTATTGTTTTTAGAGTTTACAGCAAATGGGTAATTCTAGAGCAAGAGCAGTGTATGAAGCAAACCTTCCAGATAGTTTTCGAAGACCTCAAACAGTTTGCAGTCTTGAAAGTTTTATTCGTGCAAAGTATGAACATAAAAAATATATAGCTAGAGAGTGGGTGCCACCACCTTTACCAAAGGTAATATCTCTAAATATTAACAAAAATTTACCATACTTATGCAATAATTGTTAAATTTAAAATTTTAAATACAAATGAGTTCTTAAACAAATTGTCTAGGTAAATTGGGATAAAGAGCTTGATGAAGAAGCAGAAAGGCAACGTAGACGAAAAAAGGAAAATTCTAAAACCTCTAGTAATCAAGCTATACTTCCTCTTGTAAAAAAGCCAGAAGTAGTGCCTCAGTTGCCGAAACCTAAAAGTTCTGTTAGTCCTAAACCTAATAGAGCAAATAATTCTGCAACCCAAGACTTATTGGGCTTAGGTACATTTCTAGTACACATATATGCTGTTTATAATATAAAATGAAAATAATACTTTTAAAAATAGACGAATTTTTAACAGATGCTCCAACAACAAATCAATCAAATGTAAATGGTGCAGGAGATGACATATTTTCTTCCTTCTTATCTGCACCTCCAGCTTCAGTAGCTTCAACTAGTAATAGTACTTCTAACGCAACTACAAACGCATCAACAACTGTGAGTAAAAGTGAAGAGGAAAGTTTCTTTGATCAACCAGCACCATCACAACAAGAAAAAAATAAAATGTCCAAAGACAGTATTTTGGCTTTGTATGGTACATCAAGCCATCAACAATCAGCAATGTTTGGAGTTCCTGGTACATTTACTATTTCAAATATACCATTATATTAGAAATATTATTGTACTTCTGCTGTCTCGTATTTCAGGTGGAATGTATGCTCAGCAATCTACTGTTCAGTATAAACAAGTACCAAACATGGTACCATTTGGACAACAAAATAATTTTCAAAATCAACAAAGTTCCTTGACTCAACTTAATCACCTACCTGCCCAGATGTCTGTTACAACTAATCAATTACCCATCAATCAAAATCAAATGGCAGTAAATCCTACCTCATTAGGACCAGTAGCATCAAATTCCTTAGGAAACTGTTTACATGTAGGCCAGATAAATCAAATGAATGGTGTACCTAATTCGGCCATTACAATGCAATCCCCAATGGTATATAAATCTGTGTATTGCACAATAAAAGTGTTAGATATTACTCTTCACTAGAATAATTATTCTATATATTGTCAGGTGATGCAACTGGGACAGTCTAATATTAGCAGTAATAACGGATGGAGTGGAATGTTAACACAAAATCTTCAACCAGCTCCTGGTAGTAATCCTTTTTTCAACTTAACATCTCAACAACAACAGCAACAACAACAACAAGTTGTATTCGGTTCTCAGGTATGCAGATAATATAATTCAGATATATAACACAAGTCCTTTATATAACAACAATTACGATTATGTTTTTATTTCAGTTACCGCAACAAATGGGACAATTATCTTTAGGTGGTACAAGTTTTTCGAATACACCAGGAAAGTCTACTGCTACTGCACTTCCCGGGCAAACACTTTCTACCAATTTGTGGCAGTAAAACTTTTATGGTTATTGTTAGTTTATTGATTATTCCATTCAGTGTTGTACACTAGTGTCGAACGTTCGTTACCCAACATGATTACATTTCCATATTAGTTTGGAAATTGCTTTGGGACATAATACAACAAAGACACAAATGAAAAGTACTCGAATACTACCATTTTCGAAAAAATAATTCGTGAGTGTATACAGTATTTCGAGTCAAAAAAACATTTCTCGTCTAAAGCTTCGCTAGCTTTCAACGTTATTGTTGGAAAAGTGGGAACTATAAATAAAAACGAATTTTTGACTGATTGTAAAGAGTTATTCGTGACGTACAGTATACGTGTACTCGATAATATAATTGTATTATTTGCTAAAATGGGTGCTTTTGTAATCACGACGAATGTATGTCAGGGTCCACTTTCATTATGGCAAAAAATTTCATTATACTTAAACAAGTACAAGTATCTTTAGTACAATAAGCGTATTTTGCAACACGGTTCATTTTTACCCCGAAACGTAAGGAAAAGCGGAATACGTAACAGTTTTCACAAACTATTAAAGTTCTCCGAAAAATTGTATATTAAAGGCCACTTTACTTAAAAAGTGACTTCAACCATTTTAGAAACAAATTCGTTTTCTAGCATAAAGTTGCAATATTTGTATGCAATCAAAATGTTTTGAACATTTTGTTGCTGTTTTTGTGTATTATTGATACTAACTTATATAAAAATTAAAGAGGCAATGTCTTGTGTTTAAAAGATTAGCGGTATTGTTGTTTGTACTTGAGTAGTGTGTTGCTTAGAACGCTGATTCGCAACGTTGATTATATATTAAAGAACGTTTTAGAACTTAATATTCTTGAGCAAGTATTATTATTACTTCTTATCAAAATGCATTTAGTGTTTTTGTTAATATCTAATGGCAGAGACTTAACAAACCGAACATATTACCTACACTTTGATTTTTATTGCATATATGAAATATTATAAAAACTTATAATTTGCAAGTATTATACATTTAAAGATGAATTATTTTAATCATAAATGATTGATCATAATTGCTTAAAATTATGCGTAAAGCAGGGCTGTATATTTCCCTATTATAAAATTATGTAATTTATTGCCATGTAACATGATAAATATTGAAACTTGACAATAAGTTCTGGACATATCTGTCACGTTCATGCTTTATTGTATTATTTTTTTTCCTCTTATCAAGTGATACTAAATCATTGTGCTACTAAATACAAAATGCATGGTATAAACATAAGGAGATTTTTTCACATATTCTTATAAATAACTAGCAACTATCATGCAATTCATATTATAGCGATCAAGGATAATTAGGCCTTGTAATTTGCTGTTGCATCGAGAAAATTTAACGTATTGTAAAACTGATATAAGTACAAATGCACGTTGTCAAAATATAACAAACAAAATTTATAATGTATAATTTATAAAATATCAATAATTTTAAATAATAGTTACAATATAACGTCTACATTATTTTTTTCCAGTGAACTATGTAGAGAAGCGTTTTAAATATGTTTGAATTCAAGTGCAGTAAACGCCATCTACTATACATTAATAGATAAATTGTAGTAATAAAATGAATTGTTTATGTTTAAAACGATTAAATTGTTATTACCTTAACATGTTCTACATCATCAATTGGAAAGGTACTTGTGTATCATACATTATTATTTTAAATTATCGTTAATTCGAATTAAATGATAACGCTGGAGAAACCCGCCGGAAGTTGCCATCTTTGTTCCTGGATTATGAATCGAAGAAGGCTCTTTCATTTCCGTGAAACGTCTCTTTGCTGTCGCATCAAAGCCACGTGAGACAATCATGGATAAGCCAGTAGTTTTAGCTCGTGTTATTAAGGTCCTAGGCCGAACTGGCTCACAAGGACAATGTACGCAAGTAAAAGTCGAGTTCCTTGGTGAACAAAATCGACAAATTATCAGGAATGTAAAAGGACCGGTACGAGAAGGTGATCTCCTAACCTTACTGGAATCGGAACGTGAAGCAAGAAGACTTCGATAAATACATAAAAAGAATTTATCACCAGCACCTTGGAACTTTCACCAGTGTCTGGAATTCAACAATACTGTTCATTCCATTAACAAAAATGGGGATCATACAACTATTCCAATAGCACGAGCAAACTCAGTTCAAAACAACCATGTGAATAATGTCTACAACTTCTATAATAAATACTGGCTAATATTTAACAGAGTATTTATTTTTGTTTTATTTATCCTATTTTCTCAATAAATAATTTTCTATATATATAACAATAGTAAAGAGTAGTTCACTTGTATCAATTTCTATTGATGTCAGATGCATATGTTTTTTGTAAAAAAAAGGTTATTAATATAAACTATAATACATTTAATACTTTATCTTTATTACAGAGTATATTTACAGTAATTTAATGCAAAATTATTTTTTATAAAATTGAATTTAAAGGTATAGTCTTTCATACAAGTCTTCTTCGCGTGATTCATGTATAGGAAAATACACGAGTCACATTTTGTCTGTAGTTTAAGCTGTAAATTGTTATATTCTTCTTCGCTTTGGTGGAGGTGTATCACGTGGACTGGAAGATGCTTTAGATGTGCTATCCATACTCTGTCTAGTTGGCCGTTTTGGACCTCTTTTTAAGCTTTCACGACCAGAATCAGAATCCTTACGTTCCTTTTTACCATTTGATGCTAAAAAAAAAGATAATACTTAACTTTTACATATCATTTAAATATATATGTATATCTACCTGTTTCTTCAGGCTCATCTTTTCCCTTTGACCTTCCTTTAGAGGATTTGTAATCTTTTCTAACATCTTTAATGTCCCTAAGTTTGTCTTTTTTTATTTCTATGTCTTTAACATATTTTTTAAATTCTTCTTTTTTTTTATCAATATCTTTAGTTCCTTTAAGATCACGAAGAATAGTATCTTTTTTCATAGGATCTTTGATATCTTTTTCTTTCTTAATTTCTTTGTATTTGTCCCTTTGTTCCTTTAACTTTAGTTCTGGTTCCTCTCTTTTTCTAGATTTAAGTGGTCCCAAGAAGTCTTGTTCTGGTAAACAAAAATCTATCTCTTGACTAGGAAAAGGTAAATCTTCCATGTCATCCTAAAATAATTTGAATGTACCTTCAAATTTACTTTAAACAACTATAGTAAATTTTTTAAAACAATTATAAGTACCAGAGCCATCAAATCATACATTGATTCCAAATGTTCCCAAATAGTTTTTAATGATACATCTTTGTGAATAGCAGCTCGAAATTTTTCCCATATGCAAACCATGTGAAAATATTTATTAATGCCTTAAAAAAAGAGTATATAACAGAACCTAATTAAATTGCGATACATATTTTATACAAAATGGTTAGTAACTATTGTTTTCATGTCATCGATGTAAACATAACCTATAATAAAATTATTACATCAACTGATATCTTACCAACAGGTTTATGCCCGTTCATAGCAAAGAATAATTGAATTTCATTCTCGACATTCCATTCTATTTCATCAGCGGAAGCTTCTGTTTGTTTCTCTTTGACTGCCATTGTTAATATTCATAAAATTGTGCGATATGATAATTCCGTCGCGTTTACATTCTTTGACGAGTTAGTATCACTGGAAACAATGTTGCCAAATGTTAAAATGCTTACCGTTTAAGAGAGGCGTGTAAATACACTAAGTCTTATTGATCTTTACCGAAATCCTAAAACTAACACAAACATATAATGGCGGTGGCTATGTAAAATGGCATTGTACACCATTCGCCATTGTACGCACTGTACGCCACTTCACATAAAACCACCGCCACTATGCGTTTGTGTTAGTTCTAGGGATTCGGTAATAATCGATGAAAATCACTATACACTTGCATGATATAAACACCTATGGTCATAAGATGAAATTATAATTGTTAAAATGTTTGGAAACGTTCCGAAAATTGTTATAAAAAATGGCACTTCTCCATATACTTCTTATGTTATGTATATTAGAGTGGAAGATTTACTAGAAAAATTGAAATTATTGAACTACACAGAATTTAAAATAAAAAGTATAAATAGATACTTATTCATAATTACATACAGATCATATAATCTTAGCATCTTTAGCTGCACGGTTAATCAGAAAAGCCGATGGAAACTTTGAACCTACATAAGAATCAGATGATTCTAATGCAATACTAGCTTTAATTAATGTTAGATCATTTAAAAGATATCAATGTATGCTTATTGTTAGTGGAAGAGCTTTAGTGCGGTCATAAAATCAGACAGAAGTGGAAGAACATGGAATCCTATCGCTGAAACATCCGTTTAATGTGTCCAAGGATACAACATCACACACAATTACAAGATATGAATAATACGAATGGCACTGCGATAGCTCGAGTTATTACGTAGCTTGGTTTTAGTAACTTGGATCATTATCACTTACCATCGTAGACTTAAACAATTAGTAATATTAAAGTGACAACTATTTTTACTGGAAACCTATCAGCATTGTGTTCCTTTATGTCCCTGAGCATAGTTTATGTGTACTGTTCGTCTAGATTATCGCTAACTGTATCTGTTAATAAGGGTCCAATGAAGTGCTTACCACGCATCTCTTTTGTAATGTTCGCAAGCACCGAATACAAAATTTTATAAAAACAATTATTCAGCTATACGTATGTATATGTATAGATATGTATATCGTATAATATTTTTCACGATGGAATTACAAGAAATAAAATTATGCAACAGAATGAAATGCTTTTGCAATATTTTTTTTCAAGTTTACCATTACCTTTAATGTTTATTCATTTGAACAATGCAATTGAAGCAATCTTTCTTCGTACACGAGTGGTAATAACGAACGATGCGCAGCTTCGCTACTGAATGCTCCCTACTTTTTCAACGTCGTCTCGATCGGCCTTGCTTTAACAGGCCGCGAACTACACGGCCAAAGGTTTGCGGCAGGCCAGTCGTCGTGTAATCTTTCGTGTTCACATTACCATTGAACGTGAATTCCCTCTCAGTGTATTTTAATAACGCAACGGTCTGTGACCTGTAATAAATCATCGCAACATTAAAGAGTCTGAAACTTCCCTTAATGAATATCATCTAATAATCAACAAAACAGGTTTGTATCTAACGACATAATTGGATTTACGCGCGCTAATTTCAATTAGACAGGTATTCAATTTGACTCTAGTAGTTGCAAGCGTGTTCTTAATTTTTTTTAATCTAATTCGACAAACTAGTCGACAGTTTTTAGTCGTATATCGTTATAATTGAAATATCACTCGAATACTGTCTATTAAACGAATACAAAGTGACATTTTGATCGTCTATATGCATGAATGCACTGTTATCCAAAAGTCATTGACTTCTTTACCTCTTCTGCAGAATGTATGTATGTACTTTCTTTCCTGCTTAAAGGATCCTTTTATACGTTTATGGTAGAACTCGATGTTTCTTCAACTTTCACCAACTTTATTTTACACACGTGTATTTCCGAATAGACTCGTTTCGTTTCGACATCGTTCCGATGGAATATTTTATAAATTACTTGGAATAACCAACCGAATAATTTCACCTATTACGTACAAAGTGAATCACCCACCGGTTATTAATTTTTTGCGTGTACTCGAACATTTTCTACGATATATATTGATTAAATTGAACGGTAGGTAAGGGTACATGAGCAATTGTAAAATGAATGATGTATTTGCATATTCGGTTCGTGACACGTTGTTCCTCGAGGGCGATTAATCACTACGAAATGGATATTGAAACGGATGAAATCATCGGTCGCTTGTTTTTCGTTGAATCCAGTCCCGATTATGATGCACGTTTAATTAAGAGAGCATAAAATTTTATTGAAGTGGAGTGATTCGTTTGTTTTTCAATAACTTGTGTACCTATAATACCCAAATGTTTCAGATAAAATGTAAATATATTGTATATACATATTTTAACGTACAAAAAAATAAGTTTGCAAAGTATTCAAATGGTAATATAACTTGTACTCAAGATAGACGTATGTTTAAATGTAACTACGTATATACATCGAATCGTTCCACTTTAAAAATCGTATCGTACATTCACCTCTATACTCATTTCCCGAATGTGAATCACAAATATCCTTTTCTTCCATTTTTGTTTCACACATATTCCATTCAACATTTTCGTTACATATTTCTTACACTACCGATCGTTGTTCATTGAAATGATCGAAGAAAATGACAACGATAATATTTAAAGACAGCGAATGTTTCATTCGCAAGTTTATCAGTTATCATTTTATCGGCTTTTTTTTTTAACCAAGTCTTTATAAACTTGCGTCGTACTTTGATTAAACGTGTTCCTCTATTCTGTAAGTACAACCATTTTCTTTTTAAACGTTTCGTTCAATAATACATAAAAGATTAAAAAATTGAATTACATAAGCAAGCAACAAGATTAGAGGTAAGAAAAATTTATTAAAAGTTAGGTGAAAGATAAGTGTTACCGGCTGAGCTTAATCTTATATTTTGCTCTTGATAATAATAAATGATTTGTACACGATACAGCCTATCACTTTAAACAAAAATAATTAAATTGATTAAGTATACTTTAACACAAAGGTGAAAAGTGTAAGATTTTTGCAGATAACGTAGTACACCTACTACAAGAAGTAAAGATAAACTGATATACATACGTATTGCAGATACTTTTATTTAAATTTTTGCAGAATAATGTATTGCAGATGCAATAGAAGTTGAAGCTTTGTGAAATAAGAGTTGTTGTTGACAACAAAATTTTTAACAAGATTACTTACACGCACATTACACACTGCATACTGTTTGTAAAAGAAAATGTTCAGGAGAACGTCATTTTCCTTTAACTTTCACTGCAAGTTAATAAGTGAAAACGCTAAAACGTATTGAACATACTGTAATTAATCCTTTGCACGCTTAGGAGAATAGAAAATGCATTTATTTACGTGTAGTTCTAACTTATGAAAATAAAAAAACAAATGTAGAAAAAAACGTGGTGTGACAGGATTTCAAATATTCGCGGTTGTATTCAGAAATGCATCATATGCAGGTTTTCCGATATTTGTTATTCGCAAACGTCTCTGTAGGTTAATTTTGTTTCCGTTTAAACACATTTTTGCAGTTGATTATGTATTGAGACAAAAATATTCATCAAAATGTTTCTTATAGCAGCCTCAGCATTCTTGGTTTTCGATGTATTTTGCATTACGCTCAAGTAATCATTCCAAAGATAACTATCGTAACATTATCTCGATCTTGTTTTGGATGTGTTAGATACCAACAAATGCATTTACTTATCTCAGCTTATGTGTACTGATTTCTATCACCAAATGTAGTTAAAATATGAGTTTTTGGTTGAACTATGAACAAGTCAATGCAGCAATCACTCCCATTAATAAAAATGACATGCTTATCTATATATGATTTGCATTATTAATACTGCACAATGTACTTAATTAAATGAGATTTAACAATGAATTAAAAAACATGTAACACTGATAAAAGTCTGCTTCCTATGTAAATAGTAATTGAATAGAAATTGTTGCATAAAACAATATTACCAGTTTCAGGTAAAAACAGTCAAACAAGATGAAAATGTGGAAGAAACTTGCTATTATATTTACTATAGGGATATTGTTAACAATTGTTGGATTAACACTAGCAATTCTTTGGTCCACAATTTATTTATCAATTATAAATACGGTGAGTGTAAAAAATGTTTTTCAAATATCTAAGCAACATTTAATTTTTGTGTTCATACTATTTTTGTAGCAACTACCTTTAACACCATCATCTACAAATTATGAGCTTTGGAGAGAAACACCTATTCCCATGTTTTTAAAATTGTACATGTTTAATATGACTAATTATGAAGAGTACATCTCAAGCAATGTAACAAAACCGAAATTTGTAGAAATGGGTCCTTACGTATTTAGGTATCAGGTTTATATTAAATAATATTATTTCTATCAACTTAATTGCTAACAATACCTTTTCATAACAGTGAAACTGATTATAAAGTAAATCAAGTATGGAATGAGAATGGTACCATAACATATCTAAGGAAGAGGGTATGGCATTTTGATGAAAAAATGTCAGCAGGGAGTTTATCAGATAAAGTGACAAATATAAACCCTGTGACTGCTGTATGTATCTGTTAATATCCTGCATTTTCAATACCACTATATTTTACACCTATTATAATATGTTTCTTTTATTCACATTTTCAGAGTGTTGCATATGCATTAAGATTTAAACAACCTTTCTTCCGTGATGTAGTAGACAGAATGATGAAAGCAGTAGGACAGCAATTAGTAATTACTAAAACTGTCAATGAATTACTCTTTGAAGGATACAATGATACTATGTTAAAAATTGCTCGAAAATTCAATTTGACTGAAATTCCATTTGAAAAATTTGCTTGGTTTTATGGAGTAAACATTATTTGAACAATATTAAAACAAGTACCGAATTGAAAGGATGTATTTATGATAATTGTTTATTTATAGCGAAATGGATCTGCACCTTATGATGGAACCTTTAACATGCTCACTGGTACAACCAATATGCTTGACATAGGAGTGGTTAAAGAGTGGAATTATAATAGTAAAGTTGATTATTATCCTGGAGAATGCGGCGCAGTGAAAGGAACGAATGGTGATTTGTGGCCGCCGTTACCCGATAACAAGACTATTTCTTTCTTTGTATCCGACATTTGCACGTAAGTACAATTTTCGATTAAAAATATAAAAAACCAAAAAGATGTATATGATTCATTTTTCTCGTTTTTGTTAATTATGTTAACAGGAGTATGTCGATAAGTTACGATAATACAACTGTTTATGAAGGATTAACGGGTGTCAAATATAGTAGCGACGATACGTTATTCGATAACGGTACGAAAGTACCATCGCGTAAATGTTACTGCGTGGGTGATTGTATTCCTTCTGGAGCATTAAATATTTCATTGTGCAAGTGGGGTGCTCCAGCGTTCATCAGTTTACCACACTTTTATTTGGCAGATGAAAGTTATACAAACAATATCGATGGGATGGAACCTAACAAAGAGAAACACGAACTTTCAATAGCCATAGAACCGGTAATTGTTACAAAATAATAAGTAACATTCGATAATTGTTACATAAATGTTACAATTTTTACAGAAAACCGGCGTTCCATTGAACGTGAATGCAAAGTTACAATTAAATCTATTGGTCCAGCATGATGAAGTTATGTCGTAAGTTTTCATTTTAATCTCTTACTCCTGAATATGTTGAAATAAGCTAAACTGAACGGATTTATATAATTTCATTTTCAGCGTATTTAAAAACATCAAAACGACATTTATACCAATGTTATGGTTTACCCAAGAAGCTTATTTAACTTCCGATTACGCTAGCACTGTGAAATTCATCATTATTCTGCAATCTTTGGGCGCTGTAACTTGCTACGGTATTGCCTGCATTGGCATTTTAATTATTTGCATCGGTGCTTTCTTATACATTCGACATAGTTTAAGAGGAGAAGAAAATCAAGTTTTATTGTCAAGAGATGAGAATGGAATTTCCAGTATTAATGGATGATTAATTGTACCTTTAAACGTTACTATCACGATTATTAAGTTACATAGAAGGATGTTATGATCAAAGTGATAGCTGTCAAAGATGAGATAAGATCATCATCTTTGAAACAAGAGTTTATGAACTTGTACTTATCGAATCCTAGAGCATATCTTCCTGTTACACTTCAGATACCATCACAGTTTGCATTGAAATAATTATGAAAAGATCGTATTATATAACATAAAATTAATGTGTCGTTTAAATTGTTTATAAATGTGCTTTTAAAGTGTTACTATAACGGTAATCAAGTGCCTCATCGTCTTAACGAAATCGATGAATGTTATATCCATACGTATTTCCTTTTTAAACAAAGCACAGAAATTTATTTTTAATCGCTTGTATATTTTTTTAATCGTTCAAACTACATATTGTAATTTGAATATATAACACTTATGAAATATGAAAACGAGGAGTATTAGAATCGTGTTTATCGAATTCAGTTCATGTTCATATTGATCATGTACTTATAGTTAAAGTTATGACGGTTACGATACTGTTAGAGCTGTGATAACTACACACTTCTTTCATTGTAAATATAATAAGATTTATTAGAAGAATAAAGAGCATTAATTTTATACAATATCATTGTTAAAACTATATCATGTTCATTATTTTTAAATCACACTAACCTAATTAATTTTGAAACCTTTTTTTTTACTCTAAAGTGTTTTTACAAAAAATATACAAAGATAAATGCACAAATTTTCCTCGTCTGCGAACTACCTTCTACTTCGTTTAAGTAAAAGCAAGAAAACGACGTGGTCGACTAAAATAACAAGACGGTGGCGTAACTTTGTCGAAATACGAAGATTGCTGAAACCTCGTAAATTCACCATTCCTGAAAATTCTCGTAAAACGGAACATCACAGTCGTTCAAAAGAGACAAACCGCTGTAATTGCTCCCTGACCCTATTCCCGCGTTCATACATATACCTAATCATTCTTTCGTTTTATCGTTCTCTCGCGTATAATGATTTCATTAGCCCGGTATAAAAAATGAAGAACTCTCACGTTACAGAATTGTTCGTTCCCATTTTCTTTTCGTACGTTAAACTAGTACCGACGTATTATTCTTTCAGAAGGCGATGATACAAACGTTGTATAGATTTTTCACGAATTATATCGCGTGTATAGAGGCAAGATAAGAGAAAAATATCGCACACGACTTTGACAGTAATTTCAATTTGTTATAAATACACACGTTCGCGTGGCTCGTTGCATATTTCTACAAAAGCTTTGGTATCTAGCACAGACGTTAAGCGTTGACCAGTTTGCTTTGATCTCGTTAATCATCACGCGCGTGACTTTTGTACACGTCATGTGCGTAGAAGGATCGAAACGTCATAGTTTCAAACGACATAGGCGATCGATCGTCTGTAGTTATTTCTCACCCTGTATAATCACAACAGCCACGGAGGCGTTCCTTGCGGAACGAACAAGATCTCACCACCGATTACACAGCCAAAGGGGTAGAGAGAATGAGAGGGAGAGAAATGCACACATTTGTCGTATACTTTTTTTCAACCCATGAAACAAAAAACGCGCGTTGCGCGTTCTTTGAAATGCAAGTGAATTAGCGAGCACCCTGAAAAGATCACGAAACGAGCGGTCGCGGTAAACCACCGCCTTTTGTTCTTCCCCTTCGTCCACAGTTTACGCGAAATAATTCGCGGAAAGAATGAAATTCAAAAGAAATGAACGACGACTTCTCGCAGGTTTTTCAACGTTTCCCAAACAAATACTCGTAACGCAAAAATGATGTCACCTCGTGCATATCTTTGACTGATAAAGCAAAAAGGAAAAGGAAAACGAGTGAAAAGTTGATAAAAAAAAAAAAAGAAGAAGAGATTCACTCGTACGGCGAAATAAATTGCAACTTTTTCATAAACCAAGGTTGATAAGGTAAATACATTGGCAGAGAAGATGGAGGGGAAATAACTGACTCTAAAAGGTTCATCGGGGCGTGCAGAGATGATAAATGAGCGCGGGATCAAACGAACCGACACGGGAACATCTGAACATGGCCAAAAATCTCTGCATTTACACGGTTCGCAATTTCGAGGAAACGCTAAAGTTAACCAATTGGATAAGTGAAAGGAATTCTCAGCTGGAATTTAATACTCCCTCTTTCCCGGTTATCCTTTATTTTCCAGGCATTTTGACTGCGGGTAGAGCAACGTCTTACGTCACTTTACAACAGGGCGAGCTTAAGAATTTTCCATCGATCGTAATACACGTAAAATCCTGTAGAAAAGCTTCTTACGTTCACGTTTCCCCTACAGTATATATACATATATATTCATCATCGTATGGTTATTTACGTTACAACAAGAATGTCCAATCTTGTTTTCATTGTCTCTCGAATGAACAGAACTTACGCGTACAAATACAATCGAATCTTCTCAGGGGATGATTTCTGATTGAGATCGTCGTAAAGTCGTGTATACACGCTCGTAAAGGAACACGGGAATTGGAATTTAATTCTATACTCCCTGACAGAATTTATATCGACGGAAAAAACGAGAAAAGCGAAGGGACGAAGTCGGCGAGAGTGAAGGGTGGAAAAGGGAGGAAAAAAAATTCGAATGGCTCGCCTTTTCCGGACGCAATGACTGCACGTGGTGCTGGTGTTTGTTCAACGAAAGGAAAATACAAGCGTGCCACTGGCTATTTAACTCAACGGTGAGTGACGGCGCAGCCTGGACACTTTTAATTACTTTCCTTTCGATAACTAGCTGAAACTGCTTGTTTAATAACAACCCTTCCGAAAAGAACCTGGACAAGTTCACATCGGACGCCAAAATTCGCAGTTTCATTTTCTCCTGTAAAGATACATATACCAGATCGTTTACTTGGATTGACCCTATTAACCCTTTCGCCGCGGCAAATTTGACCGCGTAACGTGGATGACTGACGGTCAATTCTTAATCACGGCTGCGAAATTTGTTCTTTTAAAATTTCATTTATTAAACTACGGTGGAAGTGCGTAAAGTATAGTGCGAGCAAATTTTCAAAACGCCTATAGGCGTCGATAGTAATGAAAGGGTCGATTCAAATTAAACGTGAAACTTCCTTTCATTTTTTAGCCATTTCTTCCACGAGAGACACTTTTCTTCCATCTGACTCACCCTTTGAAAGCATGTACGTTCGATTGGTTAGTAACAAAAGTACACCGAATTCGTGGAAACGAGAATGAGAGAGAGAGATTTGATCAGGGTCGGTATCGGAAAAGTTTGAGACGAATCGTGGCTAAGGTCCGGACATCAGCCGGTGCACCTACGCGCTCGTTAAAACGACGTACATACCTCAGTTTCGCAGAGTCCGTCGTCGCGTTCACATCCCTTTCCCGAACCGGGACCCTTTCGTGTCTCGTCGTCGCGACGCACACACCACATTCGAATCAACGAGCTTTTCCCCTCGTGAAACATGCTCGATCAAATAGACACATTTTCCCGCTAAAACAGTGCGGTTATACTTGGTGAAGTAATCTCGTCCGTATTCAACGATAAACGCGAAACATCCCGAAACGAGGCGTAAAACCATCGAAAAGCAGTTGTTCGAATAATGTAGAATGTTCACTAGCGGTGAATTGCACTTATCACAGTGCGACCATAAATTTTCATGGTTCGAACGTGGAACGATAGCTCGATAAACGGATCTATCTAGCAGTGACACTGCGGTATGCTTCGGAAGAACGAAGCTGGGGACACAGTGATCGGGATCACGAGGATGTTATCGCGATTGTGATAGGTGAAATTGAAAGGAATTCGAGGAATGGAGTGGCAGAAATAGGTGAAGTAGAAATACAGAATCGTGATCTTTGCCAATCGTCCCATAAGCTAACTCTGGTTGCATTGTAGTATTTGGGCCCGTGCCTGTTGGGACGTACGAAACATTGTTGTAAAACATTGTACGAAAAATGTCCCATTCGGAAAATAAGGATTAAAATGTGTAAATCCAAACCTAACTCAATCTGGTAACGTAATCTTCTACACACCAATACTGTAGTAATATTTCGAACACATTATTAGCTGTATCAGGTCTGACTTAACGTCTAAATCTACGCAACGACAAATGTACTTGTGAGTAAAATGATCTTCTTGCAAATAGAATGAATTTTTTGTTACCGTACCTTAATTTCACTTATATTTTCTCAATGGGACATTTGCGGTAGCAATATTGGACTCTATTCGTGCGCTTTTCAACGATGTATCATGTGACCCGATAAGCGTGGGCCAAATTACTATAGTACTGCTCTAATTCATCCTGATAGTGGTTTTTTGAACGATTTATAGAGGTGAATGAAAGAAAATTCGTTTTCTCACGGTGAACGTCCACCGATGAGGGATTTCAATCCTTCCCTCGAAGCAAACGACGTTTGGCCCGAGGAAAAAAAGCTTCGATCATCCTATTAATCTTTCGCGTTTTCCACCGAGCTAATTATACGAGAGAGGCAAAGTGCAAAGTACACGTTTTCCTTCTGCGTTGGATTCTTTTCGTCTCTCGAAGTATTCAACGACGCTAATGCACACGGTATTGCTCGCCTACTTGCTAACCGATTCCTCCACTTCCGTTCGAGAGTGGTGAAAGAAGCGCGTTAGCGTTTTCGTAAAGATCGAGTATGGAAGAAACGTTTCACGACAAGCTTCAACAGCATTCACGTTATATGCCTACGTTCGAGATGAAATTTGCCTAACTTTTCACGGAAGAATTTCCCTTCGAGACGCGCGGAAATCACGCTCGAAGCAAAAAAGGGTTACGCGGGAAACTTTCCCTCGGACGTAGATTGAATTTAACGTTTCTTCGGCAATCATGATCGGCGATGGTTGATGCGACTCTGACAGATTTGCAATATTCTCGTTCCAGATGGGTGCATCGTGTCAAATCGGAGAAATCTGGTAACGCCGTGCTGTGTTAGCAATATTTCAAATATCTATCATTTTTCCCCCTTCTGACGTTGAAGATTCCCCCTTCACGAAGAATGGACGAACGTGATAATGCATCGTAAATGTAGCACGTTGTGACTAGGTAGGAGAGGAAAACGACACGCGTGATTTTCAACTTCGCGAGCACCGTGAAACCGTGAATCGCCAAGTAGAGACACGGTTTTGACACTTTTCTGATTAATCGCCACGCCGGTTCTCACTGTCAACGCGGATGCGCTACAAAAACGCTAAAGATTAATAGGATAATCGAGGGTCTTTTTTAGTCTTTTCATCGAACGTCGTTCGCCTAGGAGGGAAAGATTGAAAGCCCTTATCGGTGAGAACGGTCCGCCTAGAGAGAGAGCGAATTTTGTTTAATTCACCCCCTTTCTCCCCCCACCTTTCTATAAACCTGCCGACAAAAGCGCTTTCGGGCAAAATTTATTAACACGGGCTAATCATTTTTCAAGCGTAACGACGATAAGATCAATTAATAGAGCACGGTATTAACTCCTGCCATGGCGTCGTGAAGGTACACTAACTTCTAGCTGAGTACAATTAAAAATTTCCATCGAATTATAAATCCCGGGTGATGGTTTATTAATTTTTACCGCGACGACGCTCGTGTTTCTTCTCTCCACGGAGATCTAGGAGGAGAGTCCTTTTTCATTCTCGTACATTTGACCCTTGAATTATGTCCGCGCGCGGGTTCGTTCGTTCACACGGAGAACGAAGTTAAGAGAACGTTTCCAACTTGCCTTAATCTATATTAATTAATCGGGTAAATCGAGTATTAAGCGCCGGGGAAATGCAACGTCCGTTTGATCGATCGCGTCGATCGTTCTCCATTCGCAGTGACACGCATCTCGGTGTCGACCGGTAAGCAAGCTCTACTATACATGTCGCTCGAAAATAAACTCAACCACTCCTCCGTCATCGGCTTCTAATATTAACTTTCTCAACGAAATTCCTTTCGCCGCTCCCTGACAATTTTATTGCGTCCCCCGTAATCAAATTTTACTCTCGTATTTCTCCTCCATCGTCGCGTCTGTTCGTTCAACGGGGGGTTGTAGGTAAGAATCGGTCGTGAAGAAAACCAGCGTGACAAAACTTCCGCCCAGAAACGAGATAAAACGCATTCTACCGAGTTGCCGCTAGTTTTCGGTCTCTCACGGACATCGATCCTCCTATCCCTTGTGCAAGAAGAAGAAGAAGAAGAAGAAAGAAGAACGAAGGAGGAAAAAAAAAATAGAAACTTTCCGTGGTGCCCTATTCGATAGCAGATTTATCGTGTGCCAATAGGCCATTTACAGGATAAATCAAATATCGAGAGCGGAAGAAGCAGGAGCTGGAATAATTTGTCAAAAGGAAGTTCGTTAGTCCTAAGCAACACTTGGGAAATCAGGTCAAAAACTTTCACCCTACAAACTTTCTTCTTCTTTTGTTGCTTTTTTCCATCCTGACGAAAATCTCTCCCCTTCGACTCTGTATATCGGCTTGTAATATACGAAACGAGGAAGAAAATCATTCGATAATCTTCTCCGGTGATCCAACCTACAGAGAGAATCAATCGCCGCGGCGATGCTAATCGAATAGAAGGAGAAGAGTTCATCGATGATCCTCGGGACACTTGCCGCGTTCAAGAGACGACGGCTATGGTGAAAGAAGAAACGAAAAGACTGGGCGAATTCGCTTTAATGCCATGGAAATTGGAGCGAAGTAAACGTCAGCCGGTGTCGCGGTGAAGGCAAGCGAGGTGGATCGACCTGGAACCTTAACTTTCTTCGCTGAAACTCTTCCCTGTTCTTCTATTCCCCCCCGAACGTTGAACGTTTCTTGAAAAAACATGCTAGCTGAAAACTGTAAGAATTTGTGAAACGGAAGCTGCGTGTCTGAACTTTACCTGGAGCATCGATAGCAAACTGTCGAATCGGAATTTCGACGAGAGAGAAAAGAAAGATGCATCCGTTGGAGACAATGATCGTAGGATGGTTGGCGTTAGTGTTATCGACGTTTGTCGAAGCCACCGATTACTTGGACGATTACACGTCGGCTGATTACATGGACGTGTCAGAGAATCACGACAACACGACGAATTGCACGAATATTTATTGCACGTCGAACGAGGAATACGAGGATCGTATGTGGAACTACGTGTTCCCGAAATTTTGGGACTGGGTGTTGATAGCATCGCACAGTATCATCTTCGTGGTAGGTTTAGGGGGGAACGCTTTGGTCTGTATCGCGGTTTACAGGAATCACACGATGAGAACCGTGACGAATTATTTCATCGTGAATCTAGCGGTGGCTGATTTCCTCGTCATATTGCTGTGTCTTCCGTTCACCGTGCTCTGGGACATCACAGAGACTTGGTTCTTCGGTTTAACGTTATGCAAGGCTGTACCTTATCTTCAGGTAAGATAATCACAAAAAAACAAACACCGGATCAATATCACGCTGCAATTTTTTCATTAAAATTTTGATCGAGACGATAAGTGTCGAAGATAAAAGAAAGAGAGGGGATGAGTTACGTTTTACATTGGCAAGTTTCGAAATTGCTCGCGTAGGATGCATCTTTGGATACGCAAACTCGTTGGTTAACAGGTTAAACGTTCGAGAGATTTACGTTCAGATGTCTGGTGTATTCTTTACCATAGCTGGTCTAAAGGATTTTGTGATTTCCTGCACGTTCCTTGGATGGGCGGACAAACTATACCGCCCACGTTGCTCCTGCTGGATTTCGACTCTCCGGCTAAACTCTCCTTGGATATTTATTTCCAAGGATCTGTATATATGTATAGGTATATATATAGAAGTCATACAGCAATGGTTCGGTGCGAATTCGGGCCAACGAAGGATCGAAGATTGCGACGCGCATCCAGTGCAACGCGGCGGTGGTCGCCTTAATTGCGAAATTAGATGCACTCTCGGCGCGATTCACTCGACGTTGGAAATTCATCGCGCTCTCCCACATGAAAATCTCATAATTCGCGGCATTACGTATTCTTCGGTGTGGTTCACCAACAGTGTGAAATTTACCGAACCCTTACTCCGCACACGCACACGTTTTTACTTCCCTCGAGCTTGCGAAATTTCAGGATAAAAGTTCCTTTCTCCAAAGAGAAGATGATAAATTTCTAAGTTGGTCCACGGTTACTCTTAATTCTCTATTCCATCCTCTGGAATATTTATCAGCAGGGTCTGCTTTTTTCTTCTTCTTCTTGAACGTAACGCGTGAACTCACGTAACGACGAGGAGATAAAGGCTGTTTTAATTCTCCGGGAAGATTAGAGCTTCCCTTTTAGTCGTCGAATCGTTTGTGTATCGGTGTTGGGGGGTGGTGTAGACACACATAGAAGAAGTTCAGTTCGGAATAATGGACGAGCACAGCTCACCGACACGAATATCTTTATTCAAGTTTTAATTAACTCGATTACAATATCCCTTCGTGTGGCTAATAACCACGGAGGTGTTTCTTCTCCCCTTGTGCCCTCCCCGTTCTGGAAAGCCGATATCGTATTCGCCGCGAAATTTTCTAGACTTGACACAATGTGATTGCAAAGCCTGACCGTGAATCGAATTATCGACTGCGGTTGATATCGAAATTTCGCAATTAAGTCGAATCTTATCGAACGTAAACCGAGATAGATTCGCTGAAAAAATATCTCGAACGATATATCTACGGTCGAAGAGTCCACGATCTCTTTCATCTCCGATCGATACACCAATTGCAAATTGTATACACACACTTGTTGCGTAATTATTTATTTCGGAAACGATAATGCGAAAAAAAAGGAAAAAGAGAGAGAAAATTGGGATTTTATATTGACCTTGGACGACGATGGTTTAGTTCCATGACGGTGCAACAGATGGCTCGATGGTAATAATGATTCTCGCATTCAGTATGCCGATGAAAACATCACTTAAGGCCTGAGTGAGATTTGGTCGGCTTAAAAAGGGTGCTCGCTACTTTAATAGCGCGTCAGTACGATTAGAAATCGTGCTGGCGGGGTATGGCAAATCAAGACATACCCAGTACATAATTTTTGTAAACGTGAGGCTGTCGGCTGCCAATTTTGCACCGGCGCCTCCACTTTGTTCAATTATCAAATAAAAAACGAAACGATAAAAGAGGTGTTATCATTTGATTAATTACGCTAAAATTAGTCCTTTGATATTAGGATATTCTATTAAAGATAAGGATGATGTAATATTGTGGAAAAGCGCCTTTGTATTGCGTACATTATATATGTGAATTAAAGACGCGATTACGAACAATCGACGGACGCGCATCGACGAGCAAATTTGAAACGTAACAAGTGAATCGTGTGAGATCGTATCACGATGAAATTTTCAATTAAGTGGCTGTACTTGATACTTTACGTTTTACCTCCGTTTACAATATAAATGGTCGCGTCTATAGAAAAGAAGAAACAAGAACGCATCGAGACGCGAGATATTTGCATATAAAATGGAACTGAAGTTGGAGAAGTAAAAAATTCATTAACGTGTTAAACGAGCGTCCTACGTTCTCTAATGCAATTTTCGACGAGGAACGATGCATGGCTATTTTCACACTTGATCGTGCCACATTTTAGTTGCAAATGTAACGTATCTCATCTTGCAACACATCTTTTCTCCGTGTACCATTCGCAATCGTGTTCATCCATTCGATATATTTATATCGAGTAATTAAATCTTCCACTCGAATAAATTCTCGTTTTTAAACGATACCGTATCTCTTTTTGATTAAGATCATAAAAATTCCACGTTTCCCTAGATTTTTTCAATTTAAGATCCTCGAAAGAATTTTATCGAGAAACAGTTCGTTCTACACTTTTCGACATAATATCGCGAGATCGTTCCTTATCGATAGCGATTAAAAATCAGCTTTCTTCACCGAACGAGTGTCGCGTGGCCGTTTATGTAGAGTAAAAGGTCAATCGTTACCTACTGCAGTCGTAATAATTAGACTCGGTCAAGGATCTCGAGGAGAAGATATTCAAGGGTTTTAACATAGATCGATCGGCATTAGAACGGGTTGGGAACAGCAAAGAGAACCACCTAGGTTTAATGCGTCGAGCAAATTGTTCCGGACGCTTACGCCGGTCGTTATTGTATCCGGACCCGGGGTTTCCGTGCAATTAACTCGTAGGATTCCGCGAGTCAGACATGTATCCTAATTTATTCATCAGGCGTTAGGTGGTAGAATTCAAACTGTACACAGGCATACCATCGAGAATATTACTGTACGAACGTTTCTAGATTGTGCAAAACCACTTTACACTTTGAACAGAACCTAATTCACATGATTTTCAGGAATTTCTACAAGTTACAGAGAGAGAGAATTTGTGTAAAACGGTATAACGAATGCACGTTGGGAAAGGACGAAAAAAGAACACCAACAAGGTGGAATTAATTGAACAAGATCGATTCCGCAGAAATTCCAAAGTGTTCAAGCACGAGGATTCGAGATGTTGACGAGGAAGAAATAACAAAGTTCGATCGAGTAATTCCCGTTGGCTCGGTCGTCCCCGGAGGCATAACGAATAAAACCTATTGTTTTTTCAGATTCGCTCGTACCCGTACGCGATTTCACGATTGTTTGTCACGCTAGGCGAGGGCACGTTTTAATTAAATCTCGCCTATCTACCGGTCCCACTCACAACTGCATCCGTCACGGGCGCCGCGTGCCTAACCTATCGCCGATAGCGACAATGCCACTTGGGACATTGCGCCTCGTTCAACGATCGGCGATTTCGCGCCACCGCTGGTGCTCGTTCAATTAACGAACGCTAGCCTGACGACGATAACTGACGGATGAACCCCGAAATCGCTTTTCCAAACGGTCTCGTTCACTTCATCCCTTTCGTTTCACTCAATCTCATTCGTGTTAGTTTCTCCCTCTCTCTATCTTTCTCCATCTATGTATTTCCCTATCCTACGTTCGCTCTAACTGCTCCCACTTGCGCAATTAATTAGCAGGATTACAGTTTTATCGACGGAAACCTCCAACAAAAGTATCGCCCTAGAGGGGACATTAGGGCGTAGTTCTGAAAAATTCATGCGATCGATCCTCGAGAAAGAGTTGTTCCATGCTGAAATATCACCCGAGTTGGACAACACATAGCTGACCACGATAAGCCCCTTGGCCCTTCTAACTGATCCCAAGACACGCGGGCTTCGTGTCTTTTCAACGATCCAAGATGGATCATCGCCATAGACTTGTAGACTCTTCTTTTTCTTCTTGGTTAACACGTTCGTTGCTACCGTAAAATCGTAAGGAGCTTGTCTTGCGCCACCAATTCGTAACGAGGCAACAAATTTCGTGCGACATATTCTAGACTAGAGTCGATGGTATGTACTGATCATTTTCTTCTTCTTCTTGGTTAAATAATCGATGTCACCGTTTGAGACATATTTTCACGTAGCTCACGGGACTACTTTGTAGTTACGCGACCGACGGGCACGTCGTGTTTCGTGTTCTAACAGTCGAAACCCGCGGGAAATTCGCTGCTTGTCAGATGTCAGACGATTGGTTGGAAAAAGCAAAAGTGTCCTCGATACAGGAGACGTCTTCGTTCCGTGGACTTTTAATTCGATCAGGTGAAGTCGTGTTGTGTCACGCCGTACACTGGCGAGACTTGTACAATTACTAAATTCAACATTCCAACTTCCGTTCAATTTCTACGCGACTTCCGGGAATGTATGGAAATTGTGGCCGCAATCCCTGAGGTATTTTCAAAAGATTTCTCCGGTAAGAAGAAAGAATGTTCGTTCGCAATCTCGACGCAATTCGCATGCTTTCCTCCTTCTATCAACTGGCCGGGATCCAGAAGTCGCGAACGATGATAAGCTTGGCAAAACTTGGTGATTATCGTTTCGTTGCAACGCCGTAGAAGCATCAATCTGTGAAGCCTAGATATAATATACTGTTTTACGGGGAGTTTGCTCGGCTGCATAATGCGGCAACTCGAGCTTTTGTTTTCTCTATTCCGTATTCCGTTGAACCGTCCGTGTACGCGATAATATTTCGAGGAAGGCGGAAGCTCTTTTTCCTACGAAACCGCTCCGGAATCTCAAGCGGTACGCGAATAAGTGGAACGACCCTCGTTACTTATTCGTCGTTTCTTCTCTCTCTTTTCTTCGAAGATCGTTAAACGCGTAAGTGGCTAATACTCTCTCCCTTGTGTACGCTTGATCAAAAAGGTCGCCGTGGAAACGTTCGTCCAACGCAACCACCCGCTCCTGATCTTATCTGGTAAATGTAAATCCACGAAATTCCCCCTCGAACGATAATATATTTTTCTTCCCGATAAGAGAAGAATACAAGCAGGTGCCAAAAGAAGAAAAAACAAACCGAACGTTAAATCTTTGATCGATGTGATTGCATCAGTACAGTAAATTCTCTACAA